TCCGGCGGTGACGCGGCTGGTTCGTCCGGCGAGGGGAGAGCATGCAAGAATACAAGGCCCATCTCCTCGACGTCATTCCGAGCTATGGCGTCGCGAATTCTCGCAACGGAAACCAGGTGACAAGCAATCGAAGTGTGAGGGGTCGCGACCGTACATGGGACTAACACTCCGTTCCGATCACGGATGTGAACGGTTCGGTCATGGAAGTTCACCGGATGATCGGCGCTAGGCAGCCAAGACATGCCTAGAATTATGTCGAACTTGGTGTCGAGGATGTCAAAAGACACCGGCTCGCACGCAAGTGGCGCAAAGTACACCGGAACACCCTCTATGCATCCGTCAATGGACTTTTGCGTGAGGCCGTCCGCGAGTGTAACTTGTGTGGGTTGCGTCTTCCTTCGAACGCGCGGGCCAAGACCTGCGCGGGCCATAAAGGCTTGGCTCATAAAGTTGCGAGACGCTCCGCAATCAATCAAGGCACTACAGGTTGCCTTTCCGATTTGAATGCGGATATAGAGCAAAGGAGCGTCGGTTTCGGCGTACCTTTGGGTGGCGTGCTCACGGTCAATCATCGCAAGATAGGAGCGGAGATCGACAACCACTACCCCGTCGTCCGTCAACGGAGCTGGTACTGTAGTGTGCAAATAGGAGCGTAGATTTGCCATCAAGGCATTGCAATGCGGCCTTGGCAAGGTTCCGGTCGAGGGTAGAGGCATCCAAGCGAAGTCCTCTCTCATGAGCGGGTCAAGCTCCTCAAGTCTTAACCACGCCGTCGAGTCCTCGGAAATCAGTGGCGAATTGACCGGATCACTTGCCGACGGTGTACAGGCTGTGCATACGCAATCTAAGTGCACGTGGCTCGGCTGGTCTAATGGTGGTACCAGCTGGGCGGCATAATCCTCGTACGTAGCACGAGAATCAGCGACTAACGCATGCTCCCCGGTAGTGACATCGATTGCTAGCAAGGCAACAGGGTCCGGCGGAGTGAGGAGAGACGTCGCCCCTCTCCTTGCGTAACTCAGTTTCCCGAGTTAGCTGGACGGGGTACGCGTGCCTTGCCCTTTTCGGGGCATTGTGCGGTCAAATGAGTGACCCCATTGCACCAAAGTACTTTTGACGAAGGTCGTAGATTTCCTTGGTGATCTTGTATGTCGTCCATGGCTGCTGCCCAATTCCCGTCGATGCCGTCTCTTGTGTCGCCTTGTTCTTCCGAACTCTCTTGGGACGCTTCGGCGGGAGCGCTGCTACAATTCCTCCATCACTMGAGGATGCTGCTGCAGCGTGGAGATCGACTGTTTCTTCATAAATCACAGCATTGTTATGTGCTGGTCGTTGATAGGCCGGCTTAGCCACATAATGCGGCTGGGACTGCCGTTCGTTTGCGGCCTTGTCATCAGTTTGGATGACCAAGTTCGCACGATCCAGGATAGCCTGGAATGAGGCGTAATCGTACTCGTTACCGAGTGCGGTTCGCAGTCCTGCGCATGATCGCGAGAAGAACTCGGATCGTTGATTGGTAAAGCTCAAATCGAAGCCTGGCGTGGTCACTATCTTTTGCCACTTGGTTGTCCAGTCTCGAGTTGGCATATTCCTTTGAGAGCAGGTGTACACCTCGTTCATGGCCGCCTTCACGACGTTGCGGACCATGAACTGGGTGAACCATAGCTTCTCGAACTCTTTCCACGTGATATGCGTGTGGAGTTCGGCGATGGTGCATTTGTTGGTAGCCGCCAGATGGTTCATCCATGCCTGCGCTCCTCCAATGAGTTGCAAGTAGAGCGCCTTCATCATGTCGTCCGCCGGGACAGTGCGGCATGATGCTTCCGTGAGGAAACGTTGCCACCATGTCAAGGCGTCCGGCTTGTTGTAGTCGTCGAACTTGCTGATGTCGAAGTGCAGCATCTTGTAAGTCTTCGTAGCGACGTCCGGTCTCGTCTGCAGCTTGGTGATGTCCGTCTTGATGGCGGCTACCGTGCTACTGATCGTGTCCGGCCCATTGAAAACACCTATGTCGCGGATTAGATTGACGACATGATAGATGCGCCCATTGAGCTGCCTCACCTCGTCTGTCGTGCAGCCTGGCGCTGCTGAGGCCTTAGCCTCGATGTTGTTGATGCGTGCGGTGGTGGTGTTCAACAGTTGTTTCTGATGTGTGGCGGCGGCGCGAACAGCAGCTGTTAAGGCTGCAGAATAATTCTGCTGAATCGGTCACAACTGTCTGCCCTCGTGTATTTGCACCATTAACATCGTATTGTTCCACATGATCGCTCGCATCATATTCAACATCAGGTTAGCCAGGTTGCTCCTTTCTTCCTCCGCCGGTGTCGGATCCGCCTGTGCATCCGAAGGCACAAACAGCATGCCTTGGAGCAGTATCGTCCACTGACTCTCATTCATAGTCAAGGACTCCATGCAAATGGCGTTCCGCTTATCTCGCACCACGGCGTCAGCCTCAGCAGTCTGCTGAGCTTGGGCTGCCGCCTCACTGGCCAGCCGTTGACGTTCCGCCTCTGCTGCTTCCTCTTGTGCCTTGGCGGAAGCTACGACATCAGTGAATGCCTGTACCCGTTGAAGGTAAGCTGCCAACGGATCGCCGGCCCCTTGGACCGGGCATGCGGGAAGAACTCCGGTGGTAACCGGTACCTTTATTGCTGTACTTGATGCTGCTGGAGTCTTCCGCTTGTTGAGTCGCTTGGGTCTTGGAGGTACCGCAGGGCGGGTACGAACTGCAAGCCTGGCACTGCGTCGTGGCAGTGCCCCGGTGTCCTGTTCCATCGACATCAGCGCTAGATGATGTGGTACTTGAGAAAATCCCGGTGGTCACAGAGTACGGGGAGGGTAGGGAGAGTGGGAACAGGGGTAGAACAATCAAACAATACGCATACAGTCCCCTGCCCCACTGATGGACTGTAGACACCTAATCAAAACAGAAAAAAAATAATTTTCCCATAAACAACTCAAATTTTGTAATAAGAAGAAATAATAACGAATTATTTAATCAATAAAATTAATTAATGATTAATAACGAAATAATAATTCTTAATGATAATCAATAAAACAATATTTGCAATAAAATTTCTTAATGATAATCAATAAACAATATTTGTAATAATGGTAATGAACGAATTTGAATTGTATCAAGATTAGGTATCCGTTGAGACCATCTTTGAGTCCCTGAGTCCACTGTTAATTAGTGAACTACCCGGAAGTCGCAATCTTGAGGGTCAGATTCGGATTAATTTGACCACAAAAAATTTCGGAAAAATCCGGAGAAACAAACACCCGAATTTCAAAAACCTGAAATTTCGGGAATTTCCACCGTCAAAATCCGATTTTTTAAAGCCCTAAATCCGTTTTCGGAATTTCTCCAACAAGGGGAAAGAAAAAAAAAATTCGCGAAAATTTCGGGCCCAACCCTAATTTTCCGCGTTTCGGCGGAATTTCCGGATTTACGGTTCCCAAAACGTTCGAATTTCCCAAGTTGAGCGAAAAACCAAAATTTTCGTAACCCTAATTTCCACTACTGCAATAAAACGGAAATGCCGACTTGGAAAACGAAATACAGGATTAAAATCAGAATGCCGGAATAAAAACGGAATACCGAAAGAAATCAGAATGCCGAATTAAACAGAATACTGATTTAAACCTAATTACGAATTACTAATCAGAAATCCGAATTAAACAGAATGTTGGATTAATATCAATTTGTTGGATCCCAATAAACAGCCTACCGGAATAAAACGGAAATCCGAATGATAAGTCCGAACACCAAATTGAAACGGAAATGCCGAAATAAACAGAATACCGAAAAAAGAAAAAAAATTGCAACTTTGGACTTGATAATAATACAGCACTGATTTGGAAGATTGAAGAAGCAATCGAATTCCTAAATCAGACTTACCTGGTGAGCAGATCCGTAAACTGGTCTGCTCCGATACCAAAACTGTTACATACTTCAATGAGTATGGGCAGAACCAAAGATCAACCAATGTAGGATGAGCATATATGCAGCGGAAGTCTGATAAACGGACTGACTCACATAGACTGACTCACATAGACATCACTCCACACACATACAATCGTGAGATGGTGGGGTCAGGGCCAAGCATAGACGATGCCCAGACCTCGTACACACATACACAGATGACAGGTGGGAGGAGAGACGAAGGAGGAGGGGAGGTGTAGGTAGCACCGAATGTCACCGAGATAGAAACCAGTAGGTCACCGATATGGTAATCCAAAATGTCATCGAACAAGATCAAAATGTCGAGGACAATAAGTCGCCAATGTCGGAGATACAGAGTCCTAATGTAACGGGTGTCAAATCTGTGATGCAGCCGAGTATCATCCCCAACAATCTCCAAGTCTCGAATCCGGTAAGTACCACAGCCTCTTACCACCGAAGTCCAACTCTGATCTCTGTCCAACTAGTGTAAGTCTCCAATCTGAAGAAGAAGAAGAAGAAGAAGAAGAAGAAGAAGAAGAAGAAGAAGAAGGAGGAGGGAGCCGAGGAGGAGAGAGAGAGAGAGAGGGGACTGGCGATGGGAGGGAGGAGAGAAGCCTCCGACTCCCGATACCTCAGGCGGCTATGGCCACCGATACGCTCAGTTGCCGCTGCTGCTGCTCCGCTCGCTGCTGCTGCGCTAATGCTGCGCTGCTCCTCGTGCTCCTGCGCTAAACATAGCGCCAGCGCTGATTCGCGCCGTACCATACCGCACCGTTAGAGTGCCGGTGGGTCGATAGCCTGAATGAGGCTGGACCGGTACTTTTGTACCGGTGGGGCAGAGGCCGGCCTCAATGCTGCGAGGCCTGGCCGTGCCCTGAACCGTCAAGATGGACGGTTCAGCCCCAACCGGCGGGCGGCAGCCTCAAGAGCGCCGCCAGGCCCAAACGGTAATGTCGTTTGGGCCTGCCCGTCGGGTATGGTCCAAGGCAAGGCCTTTACGGCCTGTAGTACCCCCAAGGTCGGGCCTTTAGGCCCTACTGTGTCCCTCTAACCCTAAGTCGGGTCCGGTAGGACCCGTGTGGCGTCGAAGATGTAACACGCCTCTCCCACCACTTTTCCAAAACGTCAACAGGGCTGAACGCAGCTAGGGCAAACGACAATGCCACCCATACATGCATACCCGCCATAGCCGGAAATCTACGAAGGAGACCACCATCCGATGCATCCCCTGTGCAAAGCTGCAGGCCGACTTACGAACTATGACAGCTCACCTCTGCAGACCCCTGGAGCCCCCATCCACGTCTCCTGCTTCCCACCCACATCGAGCTCTCACTCTACCCTTTCACCTACACCTCGGATATTTGGTCCCCCCATTTCAACTTCATCCTGATGCCACCTCCTTACTATTCAGTTGAGCATCCAGCACGGGTCATGCATCTCGCTGCCGCCACTACTCCCATTTGCTCCCTTAACGAGAGCAGGTGGCCGACCATTTCTCAGACAGACCACGGAAAGAGACACGATCGGACCTGCGTCCTTCGATTCTCCCCTCCGTCACGTCCTCCAACCAGTCCAGAAGGAACCCTGTGCTCCCACACTCGGGAACCAGGTTGTTCCTCACCACCAACACCTCTTCCCTATCACAGAAGCAAGGTGACAGTTTTTGCCTATCCACAAGGCAGGGTCATGCGCATGTACGCTACGCAGTGATTGCCTCGACGACTCCATGGCTGCCTCCGCTGACGAGGTTATCACCAATGCAGAGATCAATGCACATATAGTAAGTCCTTCTTCCTGAGGAATCTCCTTCATACCACCCCCCAGAATCTGCCTTTACCTGCTCATCCCTCCTCACCACCATCCCCTACGGTGACCAGTGTACCCAGCTTCCCTCCCACCCATTAGCTGCAGCTCCACTTATCACTCTCTTTTCTCAAGACTCTCCCTCTCTCTTGCCTGCTTACTTCCTCTCTTTCCCCCTTCCTCCCGTCCTTCCTTCCTTTGTCCTTTCATCCTACCTTCCCCCCTCTGATGCGCCGTCTTCAGGCGCAAGCAGCAAAAAGCGCTTCAGGGGATGCACCACCCCCCCATCTCCGACCTGAGATTGATCCAGTGAGCTGATGATACTTCTCTCCTCCTCACCCCTTCTTTCTATGGGAAACTCCTACGCCCCCTCGTGCCTTCCTTCTCCTTGTCTCACTCTTTCTTCCTCCCCCCTGACTCTTGCCTGAAAACAGCAACTCTGGTCTTTTTTTCCATAAGAGTCTGTGCGACTGGAATGCTGGCATGCATGTTACAGCTACGATGATGTGGTAGCTGTTCCCTATCGGGTGGTTTGTATTGATTTTCATAACACATGCACACACACACACACACACACATGGCGAAGATGACAACAGACACACACACACACACACACACACACACACACACACAGAGAGAGAGAGAGAGAGAGAGAGAGAGAGAGAGAGAGAGAAGAGAGTGTGTGAGAGAGAGAGAGAGAGAGAGAGAGAGAGAGAGAGAGAGAGAGAGAGAGAGAGAGAGAGAGAGAGAGAGAGAGAGAGAGGGAGGACGAAGAGGCCAAGTTGTGACCACCAAGTCTTTCCGGTCCACTTGCGCTTACAAGCAGACCGACGAGATCGTCCTAGGTTTTCTACGGACCGTCGCAGCGACCAAATCTTCACCTACAGACTTCTCTTCAGACACCCGCGTGGTGCGGTTGCTTGATGAGTTCGCCGACGTCTTCGAGTCTCCTACCGGTGTGGTGCCGGATAAAAATCATTCAACTGGATCTCGCTGGTATCCCATGAGATCATTCTTGATGCCGGTGTCGTGTCTCCGAAAGGATGCATCTATCACATTAGGAAGGAAGAGCTCGCGGTTCTCCACATGCAACTCAATGACTTGTTGGAAAAGGGGTGGATCCGGACTAGTAGCTCACCATATGGTGCGCCGGTTCTCTTCGTAAGGGAGAAGAACAAGGTTCTTCGCTTGTGCATTGACTATCGCAAGCTCAATGTGCAAAGTGTCAAGAATGTGGGGCCTCTTCCTCGTATCGGCGATCTTCTTGAGCGTTTGGGCGGCGCAAAATATTTTTCGCAATTGGATTTGAAGTCGGTCTATAATCAGATTTCGATAGGCCCTCGAGATCGTTATAAATCCGCATTTTAACATGCGGTACGGACACTTTGAGCGGGTTGTCATGCCTTTTGGCCTCACCAATGCCCGAGCGACCTTTCAAGCGGCAATGACCAACGAGTTTCACGCGATGCTGGACCGGTTTGTGCTGGTCTACTTGGACGATATTCTCGTCTATAGCCGGACCTTGCAGGATCATCTCGAGCACCTTCGGCGTGTGTTGGAGACACTCCGTTGCTTCAAGTACAAAGCCAGCCACGACAAGTGCGCATTCGTACGCCGAGAGTTGGAATACTTGGGCTATTTTGTCACACCTATCCGATAAGATTCCAGTCGTCCAAGACTGGCCCAAACCGAAGAATGTCACGGAAGTTCGTTCGTTTCTCGGCCTCGCCGGCTACTATCAACGTTTTATCCAAGGCTATTCGAAGATCGCGGCCAATTTGACCACGCTCCAATGCAAGGATCGGCCGTTCGACTTCGGCGATGATGCACGGGCTTCCTTTTCGGCCCTTAAAGCCGCCTTGCTATCCGCGAAGGTTTTACGCATCTACGACCCACTTTTGCCGACGCTTGTCACTACCGATGCGTCCGACTATAGCATTGGTGTCGTCCTCGAGCAACACGATGGCATGGACTAGCACCCGATCGAGTACTTTAGTAAGAAGGTGCCCATTGTGCACTCAATTGACGATGTACGGAAGGAGTTATTGGCCTTCGTACACGCGCTTAAGCGGTGGCGGCACTTTCTCTTCTGTCGAAGTCAATTCCGATGGGTAACGAACAATAATCCTTTGGTCTTTTACAAGACCCAAAAAAGACACGGTGAATAGTACCATCGCCCGTTGGATGACTTTCATTGACCAGTTTAACTTCTTTCCCGATCACATTCTAGGAAAGTCAAACCGTTTTGCAGACGCCCTTTCACGACGCTGCACCTTTGTACCATGGTCCACTGGACGTTCGAGGTTGACGACGACTTGCGGGACAACTTCATCCTCGGCTACCAAGTCAACCCCGAGTTTCACGACAAGTACGCGAATTGCTCCTCTCCAAATCCGGCGGCATCGCATTATCGGATCCAAGAGGGCTATTTGCTACTCCACTCACAGGGGAAGGATCTTTTTTGTGTGTCGAGTGATCCAGACTTGCATACACGGCTTCTTGGCGAGTTCCACAACGCTTCCGCCACAGGATACTTCGAAGACAATCGTACGATTGGCTGACTTCGTGAGCGCTTTTGGTGGCCGGACTTCTCGGCGACGTCACACGCTATTGCGAGTCCGTGAGGTTTGTCGGTGTTGCAAATCCCTCAATCATTGTCCATTCCGCGAGTTGCGACCATTACGACTCTCCTTAGGACGACGGAATCGATTGTGGACATCACCGGGCCGTTCCCCAAGCACAAGACCGGTGTGGATGAGATTCTCACGGTGGTCGATCGACTCACCAAGTTCGCCATGTTTTTGCCTGGTCGCTATCACGCCAAGGCACTGGAGTTGGCCGAGGTTCTTTACCCTGGTTGGATTCGCACCAAGGGTTACCCCAAGGAAATTGTTTGTGACCACGACACTTGGTTCACGTCCGATTTCTGGTTGGCGCTCATCAAACGATGGGGCTGATCTCTCAAGCCGAGTTCTGCGCGCCACCCACAAACCGATGGCCAAACAGAGAGGGCGCATCAAACCGCACAAGTTCTTCTTCGCACTTTGATTTGTCCCCACCAAAAGGATTGGGTTGAGCGGTTGCCAAGCGTCGAGTTGGCTTACAACTCCTCCATTCATCCGGCTATCGGGATGTCGCCCTTTGAGTTCGAGCATGGCTCGCCGGTCACATCGTTGTTGGACACGATCATCCCACGGACGACCGAGAGCGACCGCCACGTTATTTTCATTCGACGGATGCAAGAGCTTATTGTCAAGGCACGCGACCAGATGTCGGAAGACGTAGCAAAGCATGAGTCGTCAGGCCAATCGTCAGCGTTTTCCTTGTCCGTTCCGCGCCGGGGACCTCGTTTCGGTCTCCACCGCGGAATTCATCCTCAAACAAGATATCTCTCACAAGCTCCTTTCAAAACGGATAGGGCCGGGCGGCTGCTCAAGGCCGTCCCTTGACGCATTGTAGCCCCCGCTGGTGACACACCCTCACCCGAAGGGCCATCATTTGTCATTCAGGTGCCCGCCCACTTGCCCATCTACCCGGTCTTTAATTGTTCAAACTTGGCTCTTTTTGTTTTGGCGGAATGCGAAGACTTTCCCGGGCGACAATCGCGAGACCCAGCCTCCAGGGACGGTTTTCAAGAGTTTGGCGACATCATTTTGCAGCGGCGCTACGACACCAAGCCGGCGGAGTACTCAGTACATTTCTCTTATTGTAGCCATGAGGCTGACCGTTGGTTGACCCGTGGGGAGCTTCAGGCCACAACCCCCGATGTCCTTCAACATTACGAACGCAAACAGCAAGGCAAGCCGGCACCTTCGGCCCCACGCTGTACTCGCGTCCAGGTTCCACCATCGGATCGTCAGCTTGGCCCTCGACCCGGCTTGACTCCATAAGGAGGGGGGGTATTGCATGCTGAGCCTGCACACGAGCCCCATTTTGGGGGCCCGACGGTTGCTAGGGCCCCCAGGCCGCACTCCCGGCCTTAGGGCCGCAGGTATCGATTTGAGGCAGCATACATTTATTTATTTATTTATGAACTTGTTTACTTATTTGCTGTCATATTTTTGACTGTTCGGGCGTCGTTTCAGACCTGCAGTTCGTCCGAACAGACTTTCGGTCTGTTCGGACAAGGCCATGTTTTTGGCCTGGTACAGACGTAGGCARRCCCTGTTGGGCCAGGTCCATTTTCATCCGGTATTAGACGCTCCCTGTTGCATCAGCAGGGGGGCCTSGACGTCTGGTAGGGACTTAGGCAGGCGGTTTTGAGGCCAGGACCAGAGGCACACAAAGGCACACCGGCGAGGCCCAGCGCTACTTATAGYTGGGCCACGCCAGGGCAGACACACARTTCGCGTAGCTCACTTCTTGGGTGACACGTTGCTGGAGCAGCACGACAGCGCTACGCTAGAGGTAGAGGTGTAGGTAGGGAGTGAGGCAAAGGCCATACCTGCATCAGTGGATATCTTACCTGGGCATCATAGCTGGTCTTCACGTCAGCGGCCTGCAGCACAGAGGAGACACGAGGTGACAGTTAGTACATGGTGGCRGTTACCTGCAAGTGAGATAGCGAGGAGGACGACATCTTCTTCTTCTACTTGCTCTCGCCCTCCATCTCTCCTTCTTCCTCCTTTCCTCTCCTCCTTCTTCTTCTTCTTCTTCTTCTTCTTTCAGAGAGAGAGAGAGAGAGAGAGAGAGAGAGGTTACAGGCATAGGTTACATCGACCCAGAATGTGATTCGACATTTGTGGCAGGCATTGATTGGACATTCGGCAAGGAGACTATTTTTGGACTTTGCTATCACGATCTTGGTCTTCTCCCTCATCTCCATCATCGATTTCGCCTCTCCCCCCCCATCTCCTAGTCTCTGGTATCTCCACATGTGCGTTATCAAGGAGGGACCTTTCATCTATGTATGCGGTCCCTCCTCCCTCTCTTGCATGTGTGGTGTATGATGGGGTGTCGTGTCGGTATCAGACATGTCGGGTCATATCTTTGAGTCTTCTGCTCTGTTATATTGTGCTATTTTCATATGTATCTGGATGCATATTGCTAGTTGATGCTTTGCTGACACTTCCTTGTCCATTCGAGTCGTTTTCATCACTTTGTCGATCCTTCGCTCCCCATACATCACTCGACTGAGCATGTATCAGTTGGTATTGGAGCCCCGCTAGTGAATCACGACTATGTCCGACCTGAGCACGGTTGGGGACAATCGATCGATTGATTGATTGATCTATTGATTGATCTATTGATTGATTGATTGATTGATTGATTGATCGATTGATTGGTTGATCGATTGATTGATTAGTTGATTAGGTTAACCTAATTAACTCCAATTCGCGTTTCCTACCTGTCAAAATTTCGATTTTTTTTTCTTTTTTCAGAATTCCTTGTTTGGCCCAAATTCGGTTTTTTGTAAAATCCGAAATTCCGCAGTAGCTGGAATTTTTTATTTCCTTTTTTGTGATTTTTGAAATTTCGCTGCTTGATAAATCCGAAAACAATTCCTAATTTTGGAATTCATTTTTTTTTTGCACTAATTCCATCAGAAGTTTCAGAACGTCTTGCCAAGCACAGATTGGATCATCGAGTACCAAAGCTTGGCATCCACGCCCGACTCGCCGATCACCTTTACGGCGTCAAACACTACTTCATTACAACGTCGTGCCCGACATTGGAGAATGCGTTGATGCAATTCATGGAGACGCTCACCACGAGTGAGTCGTTATTTAACAAAGCCTCGCAGATTATTGTTACGAATACGGAAGCCCGCAATGCTGGTTGTTCATCTTCTGCAGGCCAAGGCAGAGATCAGCATCCGCCGAAAGTGGCCCTGGTCGCGGCAACTACGTCGAGCGGCTCTTCGAACGAGGCTGCTTCATCTGACGAGGGAGAAAGATTAGCAGCCGCCCGAGATGGTGGCCGCCCCACCAAAGGTCGAGGACGCGGCAAATCGAAGACAAACACCTCTTCAGTCCTCAGGCCGGAACAACAACTCAAGAACCTTGGCTTCATTACGGTCTCTTGGAAGGCGTCTACAAGATCTGCACGAAACACCATTATTGTTTGTGGTGCAACAGCGACGTACACGAAATCGCCGGCTGTCCCACAAAAGCCAAGGGGAAATCCCTTCCGAGAAAGTGAGCACCGCCGAGAGTGATACGGGTGCACTCTCGACGCCTTCGGTGTCGAGCGCATCGGTCCGGCACCGCATCAGGGCAGCGAGGGACCCTCTCGGTCGCGTCACGCAGGAGTTGGTTTAAATCCTTCGTCGCAGATAATACATGTGGAACTTCCTTAAGCCGCTCCGGCCGAGTGCGCCAGCCATACCTCTCGCGAGCCCCTACGACAGGATAGGGCCTACGCGAGGCACGACTTACCTACACCTTACGGGAGTTGTCACCTCCCTTCGGTGGGCGTATCCCCGCCGAGCTACCAGTCCACAGTACGAAAGCTAATCAATTGCAATCGCAGATGTGGACCAGCCGAGGGCGTTTCTCGTTCGCTGTAGCATAAGGGGTACGCGCGGTAATACGCCTCTATCGGACCCGCACACGAACCTGCATCATGGGGGGCTGAAGTCCCAAGCGCGGCTCGTCGTCGGTCGACTAGGACGCATCCCACACACCACGCGCACACCACATTACGAACACAAAAATATAAAACACACACACACGCACACAGGAAACGACACAACCCAAATAACGCGACAACGCTCCGAGCCCCTCGGTTGCCAGCCCATAACTCTCTGATGCGGAAATCGGATAAGCGTCGCGCACGAGACTTAGTATAAAACTGCGCGGACGCAGGGCAAACTCATATCGACTCACAATGCAAACGCACGCAAGCGGTCGCAATGATGGCGTACCATGTGGTACCCATACTTATGCGGTCCTCGTTAATCTCGAGGGTCACATTCGACACTCAAGTGTCGGCTGACACGCGCCTTGAGGGTTAATCTCTCGACGTTGGACAACCGCCATGCGCGGTTGAGGACCACACACCCTCTTCTGCACCCTTATGCAGAGTGGGTGGTACACAGGTTTATACGTGTGGTGGTAGTCGTCTCTCGCGGCCCTAGGGGTAAGTCCTCCCTGGGCTTGGGCGAAAGTCAAGGGGTTTGACTTTGACGGCTGCCACGGACTACAACGTCCAACCATAAAAATCTCTAAAAAGCAAAGGATAAGGAATAGGCCGACGGTTCCCCCGCCTAATAAAAATCATAACCCTGGGGTGCCCTCCCCCTTTCGCGCGGCGCCCGCGGCTTATAACAATCCCTAAGCAGTCGCGCACACGTGCAAATCCCTTTGATCCCATAACCTTTAGGCGCCAGGGCGGCGAAACGTCGCGCGCGGGGTTCTAATATAAAGTCGCGCAACTGCGGGTCAGTCTCATACCAACCAATGATGCCAACCATACGTGGTAATCGCGGCTCCGGCCTCGTGATATTGAATGGCTGAAGGAATATATTGTGAGGGGTTACCCCACACGATATTGAATGACTGAAGAGCATGTCGTTCGGCCCTCGCGACATTTCCTCCTTCCGGGTGGGGTGCCTCGACGGGTAAAACAAATAGGCTCTGCGCGAGGGAAAATCCCTCCGCTGCAGAGCCTAGGGCTTGGGATGTCCTGGACAAGGACCTTGAATCCCGGCCCAAGACCAACGTCCGACTAAAAAAAAATCCTCAAGAAGCAAAGCAAAAGAAAGGGAAGGGACTTCCCTGGGCCTCTCAGTCTTAACTTCTGAGTATGCTTTTTATACCGGGCCCCTTAACCCATGCAAACATTCATCCCAGGTACATCCATATATACATATGTAGAAGGGGGAAGTATGTGACGACCACTTCTCACAATCTCATTGGGGTCCCTCACAGCCATACGTATACATGTGATCGCAGGCAACCAAATCCAGAATCTGATTCATAGCACATACCTGCAAGTCACATCAACGAGTCAATCAACAGCCCACGCACTACACGAAGTCAACCCCAACTATCTTCAACACTCGTACCCCTCGCTTTAGCCATGCAAACCCCAACCTCCTGTCCAGCCAACCTTAATTAAATACTCAGTACCTTTGTTAAATGGCCATTCAATAAAAGTCCGGGTGAGACCTTAACGAAACAATGAAATCACCAGGGCTAAAGCTTTTTAGGTTGAGTGTGGAGGGTGAGTTGGAATTGAGTCGTAGACCGACGGATCGGCAACCGACCTATTATCAATGATAACAGATAATGATCCTCAAGGGATCAAGCTGAATCTAGTCCGGATCTTGAATCAAACGATCAAAAGGCATGACAGGTCAATGCCCCAAGCTGAACCTATAAGCTAGTGGAGGACAACCTCCATGCCGCGATCTTATCCAAATCATCCTAGCTAACTATATCTAGGCCTATCTCTAAAACAATATGGCAAGATCTTCCCTTAGTCAGAGTGGACTTATTGAAATCTCCACCTGTCAAAACATAATCGATCTCTTTTAAACTAAGAAAATTTCGGCAACGCTTCCCGTAGGAAAAATGCCTTTTCCAGAATTTATATAAGTCCAGATATTAAAGCAGAAATAATTCCTAACTCTGGAAGGCCAAGTTCTGTCTAACTCCCTGAAATAGTAGCAATTCGGGCAGCACCCCCTTTGGAAAGTGAGACTTTCCAGACTTATACTAAGTCAGATATGAAAGCAGAAATAATTTCTAACTCTGGAGAGTCAAATTCTGACTAACTCTCCGAAATAGTAGGAATTTTGGCAGCACTTTCTTTTGAAAGGGAGACTTCCCAAATTTATACTAAGCCACATACGAACTCAAAAGACAGTTCGAGTTCAACTTAAACAGAATTGATCTAACTCCTTAATTTTGTAAAAATTTCGGCAGCACTCCCTTTCGAAAAGTGCTATTCCAAAATTTATACAAGGCTAAGTCCAAAATTTGAAAGTAACTTTGACTTCTCAAAGTCCAATTTTGTCTAACTCCTTAAACTTAGCAAAAATTTGGGCAGCACTCCCTTTAGAAAAGGAGACTTTCCAGATTTTTACTAGGTCAGCTATAAAGAAAAGACAAGTTGAACTTTGACAAGTCAAAAATTGACTAACTCCTTGGATTTGTAGAAATTCGGCAGCGCTTCCAATAGAGAAAGTAGCTTGTCAAGATTTATACAAAGCCAAGTATAAGAAAAGATCTCAGAAAATGCAAGAATTGACCTAAGTAAAAAAATTTATTACAGAAAATGCAGGAATTGACACTAACTCCTACGGCTCTAGCACGTGGCGAGCAACTAAAGCAACTACCTATCAATCTGAAACTCAGACTAAGTAGTAACCTCACTCGGTCACATGCAGGCCAAACCACAAAGGTAAGTACTCTCACCAGCCCAAGTCAACCTGAGCAAACAATAGTTCATGATCTCTCAATGATTTAACCCTTTATACCCATCTTACATAAGGCGAAGGTCAGGCCGCCTGAACTTACAAAGCGCACCCAACTTAGCTAGGCCTAGAGTCAG